AGGAACACACTGCCGCCTGGACTGTCCTGTTGGGAAAGAGGGTTCGGTTGATCATTCTTCCTATGCTCTGTCTGGGCAGACAGCAGGGGAGCCGTCCCCTCTTCTGCAGGGCCAGGCTGCCAAGCAAAGCAGCATGTTTGGAGATTAAAAATCCCACATACCTTTGGAGGCGGGATACATCCTTGGAATTCGGCCCCTGGTGTGGGGTTGCTTCGTGGCTTTGCCAGCCGTGAAACTTGGAACGGAGAGCTCATCTTCCTAACGTGAGTGGTTGGTCAGTGCCTAGTCAGTCGATCTGAGACCTCTTACAAGCACAAATCCTAATGGAAGTTCCTACAAAATCTCTTGGCCCACCAACCACATTGCCTTTTCCAGTTATCACTAGAAGCCATAGCCGTGGTGAGGAGCGGCTGTTGGGGGTGGGAGGGTAGTTCTGAGCTGTTGAGAAGATTCAAGGACCAAGACTTGAAGCTATCCCTTCTTCAGAATCTGCTACCACCCTGGGCTGCCCTAGAGAAAGCACTTCGGGTGTAGGTGGTGGGGAGCCTTTACCGTAAACGGGGTTCTGTGGGTGCAGAGATGAAACAGCTGGAACAGGAGGACTGGCCACACAGAGGCCCACTGCTTCTGTCGACCATGGGAAGCCAGGCAAGCCTCTCCAGGGCTGCCCCCAAAGGGAGCTCCCTGCCCGCCTGGTGCCCCATGGTGGAAGCAGGCCTCGGTGCCTACTAGCCTGAGAACCCGGCCAGCCAGACGCCGCGGGGAGGAGGAGGGCCTCCCACTGTCCTGTCGGCTCGCCGCTCTTCACCCATCTCATGTGGTCGCTGCTCTCCGAAGCCGGTCCCAGCGATCTTTGCCTCCAGCACCAAATCTAGGCTGACCCAGTGTAACCAGCAGAACGTGATGGAAATGGCAGCCTGACTCTCAAGCCTGGAGGATAAGCCTTGCAGCCTGTGCCTTGGTCTTGTGGAATTCTCAGGCTGGGACAGTCCCTGTCGGGATTCAGCCAGCATGGTGTGAGAGGAAGGAGTGCCCTGGAGAAGCCAAGAGCAGGTGCTTCCCGGTGGACGGTCCCAGCTGACCAGCCTTGGCTGCCCACTCTGTGTGAGAAGAAGGCACTCGAAACTCCAGCTGAGTCCAGCCTTTGTCTGGCTCCAGCTCCAGCCCCGGGCACCATCGAACCACAACTATAGGAGCAACCGCAAGCAGGAGCCCTGCTGGGCCCAGGCATCTCCCAGAAGCACGAGAAGGAATGAGCCATTGTTGCTTGAGGCCACGACCTTTGGAAGTAGCCTGGTACACAGTGGGAGATATGTGGGACGTCGTGTGTGGCCACGTGCACTGAATGTGTGACTGGAGCTGGGCAGGCTTGGGCTGGTTCTCCTCCTTTGGGTTCTGACTCTAACTAGGGGTGTTCATGCTCCGTTCTCTAGCTTGCCTGGGGGCCTGGTGGGACGATAGTGGGGATGCGGGGATGACCCAAATGGGGTCTAACTCAAGAGGCTCCAAAGGCTGGCAGGCCCAGAAATGACAGGGGCCAGATTGACATGAGTACTTGCCTTCATGGTAGGGGAACCAGATGGTCAGAACCTGTTCTTTTCAACAGAATGAAAGCTCTCGAGGTGGAGGCTGGCCTTCTTACTGTCTGCATCCCCCATGGCCTAGCGCTTGCCAGGCACATGGAGTCCCTCAGCGTTGCTGGGTCAGGAAGCCTGGGTCTGCTTGACCCTAGTGAGCACGGGCATCAGTCCATGCTCCGTACGGGTTGTCGCAAGGAACCCGGGACGTAGACTTGATCCCTGCCCTGAGAGCTCACAGTCTGATGGAGGAGGCAGGGCTTCTGCCAGTCTGGTGGGGGTGGGGAGGGGGAAAGTGGTTTTCATGCTCAGCAGGCCCCTGACCCCCTGCAAGGACTCAGGATAGGAGCAGAGAATGGCTCTTCTCTTCCCCCGTTTTGTGTGTTTTCAGAGGAGCTGGGGGCTGGCTGGGTAGGCCTCTTGGTCCTGAGAGATCTTTCAGGAAGCCTTCAGTGCAGCCCAGGCCAAGGCTCCCTGGTGCGGTGGCCACCTTTCCCTGTCACTCAAGTACCCAGAACATGGGGATCCTCCCCCCCACCCCAAGAGTGCACGTGCCACAGCCCCTGGCCTCGGGGAGCACTCACATTTGACACAGCGGGCAGCTGACAGGGCCCACACAGTGGGTGCTGCCTAAAACAGCACGAGCGAAGGCAGAACAGAATTAAACGGAGCTGCCAGCCCTGTTCAGTGAGAGGAAGAGTAGGTGGGTTTGTTTAAAATACTCCCATTACAGTCAGTTAACCTTTATGTTCCCTAAATGAAAACTGTATAAACCTGAAATCTGCGTTGATCAGGTTGCCTAGGAACAGGCGGCAGGTTTTCCTAAGACAATACAATAGATTGTCACCGATAGGGCCATTAGGAAGTGAGCTGGTTAGCAGTATTATTGCAGCCCCCGGTGCTGGCGTCAGGTACTGATCTGTCTGCTTCTGCAGAGCACGCCCATCTTCCCCGGCCCCGGCAGGCTCTCGCCAATGAGCTTCTTCTGCCTGCTTCTGAGTCCCGGGGTGGTGTCTAGGAGCAAACTGTCCCCCCCACCCCCGGCTTATGAGAGAGATCTGAAAGATCTAATTCTGATGAATTTATTTCTTTCTCATCACCTTTCCCTACTACTGTTTGCAACAGTAATACTTAGAGCAGAAAACCTGGCAAATAAGTACCAGTAACAAAGTGCACCATGGAAATGAAAGAACAGAGTTACTCTAAAGCGACTTCGGTATGTCTTTTCAGTATGTTTCTCCTGTTTGATATGCATATACACGTGCTTATTTTCCACAGAGTCACAGTAGTTTACTTTTCTCCCCTTTACCTTTAGGGTGACCGACCACCCTTGTTTGCCCAGGACTGAGGGTTTCCCAGCATCATTGCATCTTATTTTCAACTCGCTTTTCTGAAGCTTCGCAGCTTCCAGTAAGCTTGGGTGAACCAAACCTGGCTAACTCCCTATTCTTGGATGCTTAGGATATTTCCTTTAAAAAAAAAAATAATAATCAATTGCTTCTCACCGCAAGAGCCTTATCTGTATGTCCGTGCAGGATAAACTCCTGCAAGTAGCATTATTAGGTCAAACGATGTATGTTTGGATGGCTTTGGAAAGTTTGTCAGGTCACCCTCCCAAAAAACGTATGTGAAGTCCCACCCCTCCCCCTTCCCCATGCTCACAGAGATTCTGACATCAGGAATCCTGTCATCATGGCCAGTCTGATAGGTGACAGTATGTCTCGTTTGGGGATGTCATAGGTGACGTGTGATATGAAAGGTGTATGTCATTATTAGTCGTTTGTGAATTGCTTGTTCATGTCTCTCACCCATTTTCTTTCAGGGTGCTCGTCTCTTCCTTTTTAACCTATAAAAACTTCGTGCAAAGCTTATCAGACATAAATGTTGAGCCATATTTTCCATGTTTTTAAAGTATGTGTGGTTATTTAAAGAGCAAGAGTGAGTAATACTTGTTATCTGGTGTCTCTGAAGGAAGAGAAGTTAATATTTTAGGTAATTAAAGCTTCCCTCAAGTCTTAAGCACTAAGCCCCAGCATGGGGCTTGAACTCACAGCCCTGAGATCAAGACCTGAGCCGAGATCAAAAGTCGGCTGCTTAACTGAGTCACCCAGGCGCCCCTAACATTTTTTTTAATTGAAGTATTTGGGATGAGAAGATCTGAGAGGTATGTACATCTCCAAAATGGAGAGTCCCATGTAGGTCCCTTTCAAACAAAGTATGAGGTAACAATTGAACTTCTTCCTATCTCAGACACCCTGGGAACAGTCGTAATCTTCTGTGTGGTAGTGAGACCTTCGGCAGATGTTGGGTTACGTAGAGTTTTGGCTCCTATACCATATGGTCCCTTTTAAATATGGGGACCTCGTTCTTGCCCTTCCTCCCTCACTATCTGACTGTCACGCTAACGCTTTTTGCCACCGTAAGCACCCTGCCCTGCCCTGCTGGGTCCCATCGCCCACCATCAGCGATGGGGTGGGTTACCAGCTAACAGCATGTGTTATCTGTAAACTAAAAGCAAGTAAGCACCGAGCAGGGGGGTGAGACACGCTCCTGAGAACGACGCAGGCCCTTCTGAGAGCAACAGTTTTATTTCCTTTCTGGAGTTTGTATTATATACCATTAAGGCTGGGAAGTAAGTGACTTCTGGGTTGTGTGAGCGGAATGGGATTAAGAAATTCAGGAGGCAGGAGGGAATCAGGAAAGATTAGCAACCACTTGAAGATGTGGCTGCAGAATGAGAAGCCACTAATCCAGATGGACAGAAGTGGTGTGGAACGTTCCTACTTCTCCCCAGAGCGTGCCAAGGCGGCTTTGAGGGAGGTGGGGGTGTCGGCGACCTAGCAATTTGAGAAAACTCCGGCTTCCAGGCCTGCCCCTGCTGGGCTGTGGCTTACAGCACAGGACACAAGCCTTCAGATGTTCAGTTTCGTCATCTCTAAAATGGAGCTAAAGCTAACTGGCCTGTTTAATAAGAAACTTAATCAGGTGGCCCGATAGGAAGAGTTGGGGCCCACAGGCATTTGTAAACCTGTAAGGGGCCAAACGAGCAGGAGGGGGTATTAGTACTGCTGTTGGTTTTCTTCACAGACCCACGGAGCGGCCCCGTGTGCCTTCTCACCTCTCGGGCCTTCTGCACACGCTCCAGGCTGAGCTCCCGACCCAAGCACGCGTGTCTTCAGCCCGCGTCCTTGTCACCCCTCAAAACCCAATTTCATCCTTGTCGGTTTTTCCAAAGCAGGATTTGCAACAAGTGGCGTGTTTTCTTAAATATTTGTTTTGCAGGCCATTTGCTTGGCTTGGCTGTTTTTACAGTGAATAAGGAGCGAGGCTAAAAATACCTTCGCGGGTAACCAGATCCGTTCTGCCTTTGACATTTACGTGGCATTCATTTGCATCTCATTTGTTCGCCTTTCTGTTGAACAGGTAGAATGTAAGAAAGCTCAGCCTAAGGAAGTCATGTTCCCACCGGGGACAAGAGGCCGGGCCCGGGGACTGCCTTACACCATGGATGCGTTCATGCTTGGCATGGGAATGCTAGGTGAGTCTTGGGCAGGGGTCCCTGGGGACACCTCAGAGCCACCATGTGCTGGGGGCTCCAGAGGCCTGGGCACCCAACTAGGTCACGTACCAGTTGGGCAAACTGCCTTTCTGGGTCTCAGATGATAAACCCCTTTGCGAGGTAGTTGTGACCATTATAGAGATAGGTCGATTGATCGATAATCATCTTGTCCCATGCCTGGCACATGATATTATTTTCTCTCCTTTCCACACCCTCTTCAAAAGGAGAAAAAGGCGGCCCCTTGCTTCACGCCTCTCTACTGACAGGGTGTTCCGAAAGACCCAAGGACTCCTGGCTGGCTTCCCCATGTGGGCCGAAGCTACATTTTCTAAAACTTGGAAGAGGAGAAGTGATGAGGGTGGGCTATAATCCTGTCTATTTAAATGATTAACATTTTTCTCTTGGGATAGCAGAATTTGCATTTAAATGGCTGTTTTAAATGGCCTGTTTTACTCTTTATTTGCTAAAAAAAAAAAAATGATGAAAGACAAAGTGTGTTTGTTCTGACGAAAAATGATCTCTCCTGGCTTTTAGAGAAATTAAGTTGCATATTATGCTCCTTCCTTAAAGGTATCTCTGTCCGTCCTGTGTAGATAATTGAAAATCTTGCCACTGAAATGGCATGAAAAATGAAGAAAGCAGAGAAGAGGCGTAATGGTGTGGGTCGCAACAATAATTAGAAATTTCAAGGCAAGAGAGTGGCATTTTAGTGCGAGTTATTGTGTGTCGGGAAAATACTAATTAAACGGGATAAATGGTAGTTAATGGTAAAATTCCATTCAGGCCCATGATCTGTCTGGTTTTAATGGATTTTCATTCCGTTTGGCTACGAGTCCCCCTTCTATATTGTTTGATCAGCTCTTTATGTAAAGATTCACAGCTCTTTAAATCATTCCTGGCTCCATTTGAAATGTATGAAACTTTTCTTGGTGTTACACATTCATAGAAAGCATTGTATCTATTTTGTCTCAGCAAATAACAAGGGCCCATAAAGTTAGTTGGAGGAACTTTGAGAGACAGAAAGAGATGCCAGGAGAATCCTAAAAGTGGCAGAAATATTACTTCCTCTTGAATTCATGTTTTCGGCTTAATTGAGTTTCGTGGGAAATTCCTCTTTTCTTCTTCCAGGATTGGCCAAATGATTCTAAGGCTGATCTGCAAGCAGAGACACATGAGAATAGATAAGAAAATGTTTTCAAAAGAAAAATGAGAAAAGACTAGTTGGACCAAATAGAACACGGCACAAAGCTACAGTAGTGAAACAGTGTGGTATATAGGATTGCCCCGTTGAGAGGAAAAGGGAGAGATCTGAAACTAAATGTAAGAGTGTAATCATTGTAAAGAAGTTACTTCTAAAAATCAGTGGGAGGGGGCGCCTGAGGGGCATAGTCAGTTAAGTGTCCAACTCTTAATTTTGGCTCAGGTCACCATCTCAGGGTCGTGAGATCGAGCCCCACATCAGGCCCTGTACAGAGTGCAGAGCCTGCTATGAAGATTCTCTCTCTCTCCCTATTCCTCTGCCCGCTCCCCCCACCCCTGCTCACGCTCTCTCTAATAAAACTAAATAAAGAGATAAAAATCATGGGCATTAGCTCCTGACTGACTGTGAGACACTTGTCTACCTCTTGCTTAAAAAGTAATTTTTGTGTGGCCTTACCCTACATTGTATACCAAAAGAAGGTCCAAATACAGTAATAGTTTTAAATTTTAAAATCAAATCTTAAAGAGTTCCCTCCTACCGGTTTTTGGAGTCTTGAATTTTCAACAGTGAGTATAAAGGCCCTAGGACATAAGACAGGAAACTTTTTAAGATTAGATCTTCAGGAAGTGCTCTTGCCTTACTGAGTCTGACTTGCTGCCCTTGGCTGCTGGGAAGAGTGACCTGTCTCCTTCAGGGGGAAGCAGAGGTGTGCAACGAAGCCTTTCTTGCCACTGACCAGAGAGCAAGGGTGCAGTGGTTCTGTTTGCCCCGGCTGCAAGCAGGGGCTGGGGGCCCACATCTCTCCAGACCCCCCAGCTCAGATCCCTGGCCAGAGGGCACCCAGAGGTTTCATAACGGGAGGCAGGGAGGCTGTGTTGAATACAGGAGGTGCTCACCGGCAGTTGGCTTTGAGCGCCTGGTGCATGCCTCCACCCCAGCCCCGTGCTGGCGCTGGGAGACTGTGCTTGACAAGGTAGATGTTGTCCCTGCCCTCTGAAGCTTGTGGTCTAGTGAGCATGACAACAGTTAATGGCTAATTCTACACGTAGTTAGTCGTGATAGAGTCAGGGGGTGCTTTAAGAGCACATCATGAAGAGTGGAAATTGGGCTGAGGAATCAGGAATACCTCCCTGAGGAGGTGACATGTTCACCGTGCTAAGAAGGATGAGCAAGCTCAGGGTGATCCAGACAGGACTAGCCTTGGAAGGTGAGGCTCCTGAATGGGGAGCCCCAAAAGCCCAGTGGCCTGGCTGAAGGGTGTGTGTGAGGAGTGCTGGGCTCAGAGTCTCCAGGATGGGCTCTGACCCCAGCTGATAGTAGGCAAACCCACGTGGTCCATGTGCTTCTCCTTCGCTAGGGTGGGATGGCCTGACACATCCCCATAAGTCACCTGGTTCACCCGCTCCGTGATCCGTATCCATCCTGGAATTGCCACCATCACCCATCGCCTGTCCATGTCATCACCACGATCATCATCAGCCACATCAGCCACAGTTTCATCAAAGCCGAGTTTGATGAACTCGGCCCAGGCAGAAAAACATTTGTTAAAAGTTCATGAATGAAATAGTTCTCATGCTGTAAATGTTTGTTGTCGGAAGGGCAGAAAGGTGTCTAACACTTGGACAGGTGTTTAGAAGTGAGACTATACACCATTAAAGCTGCTCCGTCCATGCCCTCAACAGGTGTTTCCTGAGCACCTACTGAGGGCCGGGCACTGTCCTTGGTGCTGAGGCTGCAGCAGACTGTGAGGTCCCTGATCTCAGGGAGCCGACGTTCTACCGAAGATGGCAGATACGCTACTCTGTAAAGGCCTTGGAAACTGTGAAACTTGCTTTTAACTATCCCTTAAGATTTTCTCCACACTGACAAGCGGAGAGGGACCCAATCATGTTTGTTTGCTGTCTCTTGGTATGGCTGCATCTGTCCTTGGGAGGAAACCTACAGCAGTTTTGGTTTTAGCTTCTACAACCTTTGAGAGAGTCATAGAATAATCAGCCCAATGGGAATTCCTTGAAAAGAATGTGGGAGAGAAGAGGAGGGGTCCTCCTCAGACCAGTTCTCCCTGCCTTCGAGCTGGACAGAATGAAAATCAACGAAGACCCTTGGAAAGATCTTTTGGCGGTCCTTCCGACTTCGTTCTGCTGTCTCATGGTGGCCAAGAGGTGCCCACGGCGACCCAGCCCAGTGCCCTAGACTCTCCGGTTTTTCTTCATGGAAGTGGACTTAATAAAAGCAAACGTGATTATTGTTGGTACATTTTATTCCCTTTGGCCTACTCTGCCCTCAGCCACATAAGCCTACTACCTCTAACTGTCTTGACCTTGCTGGGCACACACTACTGAACGTGGTTGATAACCGCTGGGAGAGGAGTACCTCATTGCTGGGGCTTTGAAGGATAGCTTTACCCTCCAGGCCCAGAAATGGTGGGACTGTGTAGACTCAGCTGAAGAAAGCTTGAGGCCTCCTTGACAGTGCTCCTACTGAGAAGTCCCCGTGAAGTCTCAACACAGTGTTCCCCGACACTAAGCCCCTCGGAAATGAAAGCAATTTTTTTTTTTTTTTTAAAAACCAGCATCTAGAAAAGATTAGCTATCATCTGCTGGCACGCACTAACAGGTCAAAAGGAAACTGGCTGGAATGTAGAGCTGCGTGTCTAGATTTATTCATAATTTCCACTGGGATTTGTCTTTACCCAGAATATCTGTTGAGGTCATTCCCAAGGAGGTCTCCATTTGTTCAGCTGTTTCCTGGTGGACAGAGGAAGCTCGAAATTCAGTTCTTCGGTTTCCTTCTAGAATAACACAGTGCCCCCAGAACTTTCTGTGGTTGGTGGAGGGGGCCTCTGTCTGCACTGCCCAAGATGGTAGCCACTAGCCAATGTGGCTACTGAGCATTTAAGATATGGTTCGTACCACTGAAGAGCTGGGGTTTTTCATCATAGTTTAGACTTAAATTTAAACTGGGCAGCATAGGCCTCAAGATGCATTTATGCGTCAGGATGGCTTTGGGGTCTGAGCGTCTGGGTAGACTTTGGCCTTTGCATGTCGGCCTGGGAAGGGCTCCGGGCACCAGGTGTTGCATCTGGATTCATCCCGCGTGGAACCAAGCATGGTGCCCCAGGCAGTGCTCTGTGTGCCACGTGGTGTGTATGTCACACTCCGGCCGGCCCCTGGATAAACAACCCTCATCTCCTGTCCTTTCAAGTCGGGGGCCTGGTGGGAGCAGTTTTCCATGACTAAGTAGCTGAGTCACCGAGCCCAGGCGAGGATGAGTCATTTGCCCATCTAGAATGCAAACATCTTCCAGCGTTAGAGCCAACAACATCTTCTAGAGTTGGAGAAAGATTGAGAACCACAATTCCAAGAACGCAGCTAGCCTCCCCAAAAGGGGGCCCTGAAATGATCTGCCTGGCAAATTTGAATCGTTGTTAATTTCTCAGGTTTTTTTTTTTTCTTTTTTTCCCCCCCAGTGGAAAGCCTGTGTGCAAGAAAGGTGGCCATCCAGGAGCAAGCTTAGTTTTTCCTTCAGTGACAAGAGATAATTACTGTGAGATTGATCAGGCGCCCAGAGTACTGGAGCCCATAAATTGGGCAGTGGCCGGTGTGGGAGGGGCCCAGCTGCTAATGGAAGCAGTGGCTGGGTCATCCCGCTGTAATAGCACTTGATGGGGCCTCCACGTGGGTCTGCCGTAATGTGCTATTGACATGCGGCGGCCAATTTCCCCATGTGGCTGGGACTGGGAGCCGTTGGAGCAGAGCTGGGCTGCACAGCAGTAAATGAAGAGGAAAATTGAAATAATGTTGTATTATAAATTTATGATTTCATCTGCCTGACCCGGAGGATGTGCGTGATGGGGGCTGGAGATCAGATCCCCCGCTCTGGCAGAAGCCAAATTCTCGTCTGGGTTGTGCTGGAGACCATATTGACATGTCTAGGAAGATTGGGGTGAGGCCCCCAAATCGGGGTGAACTCGACCGTGCTTGCCTCCCTTCTTGTTGAAGACGGTCACATGTGCCAGGAAGAAGGCAGCTAGGAAACGGTCCTCGGGGCCCCAATCGTCGGGGAGGCTGGGCGTCCTACCCCACTCCGCCCTACCTGCCCAGAGATAGGCTTGAAGGTGACACGTGGGCCTACACGTCTGCTGTCAGATTAAAACATTTCAGACCCCTAGTGCTGAAGTTACAAGCAAAGGAGTCATTTTTCACCAGGAAAGGCCCTAGGCAGTGGTGATTTGGCTGTTTGCATATAATCCGTTTATCAATATTGTTGAAATAATGGTTTAAGAAATCTAGTCATGAAAGATCTGATTTGAGAGCAGGTGATTAATTCAGAGGAGAACTGAGCTGGCCAGCCATGAAATAAATACCAGGGAAGAAGCCAGTGTGCATGTGTCCCCGTAAGGCCTCTTGAGCTCCCGCTTCCTCTCCATCCCTCTGTCCCTTTGTTCCCCGACCGGGGGCCAGAGCCGAGCATCACACTTGGATAGCCTGCTCCTCGGTGGTCAGGGCAAAGCCGTGCAGTCATCCCACTTGTCTGGGTGACCCTGTGCCAGGGAGACACCAGGCCCCGCGAGATGCGTGCCCCGAGAGGGAGTAGGCGCAGGGCCCTTTTGAGGTGGAAACGGGTCAGTCGGCCAGTGAGTCGTGACTGCATGTTCGGAAAGGCTCTGGCTAAACGGGAAGGGAAGGGAAGGGAAGCACGGGGGGGCCCCAGTCGAGAATGCTGCAAGGGACCCGCAGAGCTTTGTACAGATGGCAAGACTCAAGGTGTCAGAGGACCTTGGGCCAGAGGCAAGCCTGGACCCCAAGTCTCCTGATGCCCACAAGAGCAATTCTTTCTTCTGGGTCCAATGACAGACCCACTGGTCAAGTGGAGGCCAAGACACCAACGCGCATGGGCAAGTGAGGAAAGGTGGGTCCCATCTCTGGGCCTCCAAGGCATAAAGGCTCCGTGAACAGGAAGACCTGCCAGCTCGAACGCACAGAGCTGGAGAATACCCAGGATGGAACTGCAGGGATGGTCCTGTTCCTTTAGCCCTCACCGCACATCAAAAGGGGCTTGTGATGTACCCCTGGTGCACTCAGGACGCGGATGATGAGACCCCCGAGCCCGTATCTGGGGGTGTGTCAGTGGTTATCTCGAGCTGCAGAGACACAGGTGGAGAGCTGTCACTGCTGCCCTCATGGCTGGAGGGCAGGAAGACTCTTACAGAACTACCCCACCCCCACCACATCAAAGCTACTTTCTACCAGCCTCTTGGTGGCAGGCCACGGAAACTCTGGCCACTGTAAGCCGAAAAGGAGAGGACTGGCAGAGGCTCGTCAGCTCACAGAATTGCCAGGAAGGCTGGAGAATAGGCAGTAACTGGGTGGTCAGCCACAGCCGGGACCCAGGGACAACCCAGGAATGACCTGGTCGGGGTCGGGGCATCCGCTGTTGCCGCCACTGGGTGCTGGGCTCACGCCAAAGGCACCAGAATAAATTCCGAATCACTGTGTCCTCCTCTGCCCTACTCTCTTCAGAAATGGATCCAAGGAAGACTTCCTTGGGCCAAACCCAGGTTCACAACTTGCTTCCCAGCTGCCTGGCTTAGAGAGAGCAGGAAGGGGCCTTCTTCTGCTTCCACGATCACAGGCAGGCCTCTCTCTGAGACCCAAACTCAGAAAAGGGGTTCAGGTACTGAGCAGCCAAAAAACAAAAGTCAAAGTCCAAGCCAAAGTCAGGCTCTTGGGGGTGGTTAGGTGGTCGGTGGTGATGGTGGCGGGAGATTGGCCGTGGGGGTGTGTGAAAGCAGGAATGGACTGGGATTCCCACACATGGAGCGGATGGAGGCAGCACGAGCCTGCTGGGATGGGAGCAGAGGGGGACCGTGGGTCTCTTAGGATTGGCGGAATCGGTCCAAGAGGGCTACACACCAGCCTTCTCTGTCGCCTGAGCCAAGAGGCAGGGACATAAATGGTGAAACAGCCTGAGTGAGCACAGTGGAGGGTTGAGAGCTTGTCGGGGCTTTCATACTAGCTCACAGAGGGCCGCACCGGCCGCAGAACATGCCAGCAGTGTCCTCACGCCCAACCCAGCAGCTCTTTCCACAGGCAGTCTGTAGTGCAGGGATCGCGCCCCCCCAACCCCCGGTTATCTGCTGAGATCATGTGGAAAACACGCTCGCCGTGAAGTACCCGTTAGTTACAACATGTGGCGTGAAGCTTCTGGGTTTGGGCCGTGTTTCCTGGAGCACATTTTTTTTTTCCAAGATTTTTTATTTATTTGACACAGAGAGACAGATCACAAGTAGGCAGAGAGGCAGGCAGAGAGAGAGGGGGGAAGCAGGCTCCCTGCTGAGCAGAGAGCCCGATGCAGGGCTCGATCCCAGGACCCTGAGATTATGATCCAAGCCGAAGGCAGAGGCTTAACCCACTGAGCCATCCAGGTGCCCCCCTGGAGCACATTTTAACAAAATAGTCCCTCATGGTTTCTGGGGGTGGCTGGGGGGGTGGGTGGAACCTGGGGACAATGCGGGCACTCTTGAGTATCTGTGCTTGGACACAGGCTCCTGGGGCCATGCCCTCCCTGGGCCATGGCTCATTGAGCCCAGTGGTTTTCTAGAAGCACCGGGTCAGCCCCGAAATTCTGACCCCCGAGTGCTCCCGCTTTGTCTGGTGCTGGCCCCACTCTCTGCTGCCTTGGGAAGAGGCATTACAAGGACTTTAATCTCCTACTGTCAATAGCTTTACGGTAAAGTACACTCAGGGTTAGCTCTCCAAATGTCAGAGCCAGGCGCAGGCCCTCTGTTTGGTACTAACGTGTGGCATTTACTCTGCAGGTTCCAGAAGGTGCGTGGGTTTGGGAGGTCTCTCTGCCCAAATACAGGTTAATTACCAGCACGCTGACAGCAGTGCCCCCAGCCACAGTAGAGAGGGGCCCCAAGGCCTGGGTAACGACCCTCATGGGAGGCAAATCGTTTTGTGCAGTAAAATGACCCAGGCTTGTCCTCATTTCTGCCCTCCCTGAGATTTCACCCGAGGCCTGAGGCAGCTGTACTAATGCCCCTGTGATCTTTCTCTCTGTGTTCAAGGCTACCCCAACTTTGTGGCGACCTACGGCCGCGGCTACCCTGGCTTTGCTCCTAGCTATGGCTATCAGTTCCCAGGTGAGTGTCTGTGTCTCCTGGGGCTTTGGAAGCACGGGAGATGGGCTGCATCGGAGGGGAGGCAGGAGGACCCCTAAAGAGAACATATCTCGTACACATGTCCATCCAGGGAATGACCTGTAGGTGCTGAAGTTCAAGTGTACAGAACTCCGGGGACAAGTGCGGCTCAGGGTCTGATGAGTCAGAGTACTGCCTCCGTGCTGGGTATTTGAGAATGGCAGCTTTTGGGGGGTGGCCCGGAGGGAAGGAGCTGAGTCAGGAGCCCTCCCTCTGCCCACCCTCCTTGGTCTGGAGCCTGTTACCAGTTCTCTCGCTGGACTAGACTCTTACCCTCTGTCTCTCTCATCTCCCCCTCGCTCCCTCCTTCCTCCATCCCCTCCTCCAGCTCTGCCTGGTGGCCTTGGCTTTGAGCCCTTCTGTGTGTAGCCGTGGTGTGCTGTTGGGGTTTGGGTTAGCTGTCCTGGGTGGGGGATGTAGATACACTCTTCCCCGCGCGCAGGCGTCAGAGGCTCGAGGCAGAGCCTGTGACAGTGCCCGTTCACATGCCCAGGTTGCCGCAGCTCCCGTGTAGCCGCGAGGTCTGGGACCCCCACCTGAGGCAGGCAGCAAGCACAGGCATGGCCTTGCAGGGGTGGGAGGCAGGGTGCTGAAGGAAGCAATGCTGATGGGACTTTGCTTGTCCCCTGAAGGGGCGAGCCCGCATTCCCAGACCTGGAATGTAGATAAGAATATGTAGGGGTGGACAGGACAGCTGGAGTTTCTAGAGGAAGCATTAGAAATGGAGTTTGGTCTGCTTAGGCTCTCTGCTGAGAGAAGAGGCTCCCTCGGAAGCTGGTTGGTCATCCTGCCCAGACCCAGAGGCCTTGGAGGCCCAGGGAGCATAGGCATGGCCCTTAGAGGCCTGTGTCCTGAAGCCAGGGAGGAGGACTGAGGGGAGCACATGATGATCTCCCCCAGCATTTGCACATCTCTGCCGGAGTGTTGGGGTGGCGGAGGATGTTGCAGAGGAGGTCAGGAAGCGTTGGGGCATTTAGAGCCTTGCCCTGTCCGGGATAGATCATCCATCAGCGACGGAAGCCCCAGGCTTTTGCCCGTGGCTGCAGCTGGTCCCCTGCCATCTCTGGGGCTCATCACTGTCTTCCGGAAACAACTTGTTCCGGAAACAAGGGGTTTGGGCAGGACAGCCCCTGTGGTCTGTGTACCTTTCCTACTTGGGGGGCGGGGAAGAGGGAGGGGAGGCGGATACGGCAGCAGCAGTTCTGGCTGGAGCAGTGCGAGCTGGGGAGACTTCCCCATGAGCCTGTCCCCGAGGGCCAGCATCTCCACGAGGGCGCGGGTGGGGGCGGTGGCGGCCTCTACAGCAGCTGGCTGCTTTGGGGGAGCTGCAGGCCTCTCACTACGAACAGAGAAGTCTGCTCCTCCATTAGATTTTCCCATCTACAGATGGGGACCCTGTTCCCAGGCTCATTAGCAGCAAGAAGCAGGTCTACGATTTAGACCCAGGTGGTCTGGCTCTTAGCTGCCACATTGCTCTCTCTCTCTGGCGTCCTTCTGTCCGCTAGGATCCCGCTAACCACGCAGAGCTACTCTAATTTAGATTTAAGTTAAAATGAAGTAAAGTGGAAATTCCCGTTTCTCTGTCATACCAGCCACGCTTCACTTACCCAGTGGCCATATGTGGCTAGTGGCTGCTGTTAGCACAGCCTGTAGAACGTTTTCTGTGAAAGTTCTGTTGGATGGCACCATTCTGGAGCACAAAGAAAGAGGTTGGGGGAGGTGTGCGTGGTCCACACTCATATACACATGCATACACACTGTCCCTCCCAGGGAGACCTGGCATGTCATCGTCCCTAGTCATTTCTTGCCCATCTTCCTCAGCCCGGAAGCTGGTGGCAGTTTCAAGAAAGCCTTTCATCTCCTTCCCTCCCCGGGCTTCCTCACCAGGGTTCAAGAAGACATAGAGGCTCCCATCCTGGCTCGCTGAGAGTGTCTTGCCACTCTGCACACCTGGTGGAGCTTGCCTCCCTTCACAGTCAGGTTGCCATTGCCCCCTTGGTGCAGTACTAGTCCCAGGCAGGGAGAGCTGGGGGCTCCTGATGTGGAATAATTTGGGGGGTGACAAAGTAGATCCCATGCTAAGCTGTGTCTCAGGGATCTGTGTCCTTGGATCTGTCCTCAGCAGACATGTATGCAAGACAGAGATGCAAGAGTGACCAACCAAGGCTGGGTAGGATGAGATAGAGCCTCCCAGCTGTGCCCAGCCCGTCATCAAAAGCCAAGGCTTTAGGACCAGGGCAAGGGTATGAGGGAGCTGGTGCGGGCTAGGAACGACCATGTCCAGGGCCTGTGTGTCATGGTCCCTAGCTCCTGCGGCTTAATGCAGTCGGCTGGATTTGTTTAGGGCAGGAATGGGACATTAAAATGTCTCGACAGGGGCTCCCTGACCCATGGAACGTAGCTGTTCTCTCCTCCCCCGGCCATCAGATTCTCCATTCTCCATCCTTCCACTTCTTACCCTGGAGGTCTCTTGGGTGTCCTCACTGATGGCTACAAAGAAGCCGTCAGTGGTCACAAGAGTGAGGCCACATGCTGTTAGGGAGGGGCAGCATGTGGAGTCTGCCCCTCCATCCAGGCTGGGAAGGGGGTGGCCCAGAGGCTGGACCCGGCAGCCATTCTGTCCGCTGTCCCCAAGCAGCCTAGGTAGTGGAACAGTGTAGGAACTGTGTAGGAACACCAACAGCCGATGGTGTTCCACTCCAGAGCTCATGACGCGGTGGCTTCCCTCAAAAATGAAACTTGACTCTGCCTGGAGCCTCCAGCCCAGCACGGGGTCTCTGAGTCAGGAGTTTTGGAACATTCTAACATCCTTCTCCTGTCCCGTGCCAATAAGGAGTGTCTTAGACGGTCTGATGAGGAGGAGGCTGGGGTGCAGAGGGATGGCCCGGAGGAGGATGGCTCAAATCTGCCCCCTGCTCACCCTTTCCGCTTGACTCCATTGACTTCTCCCGCACCCTGAGGTCCTGTGAGCCAGTGACATAAGCGCAGCTGTCACCACCAAACTGTCCTGAGCTTTCTGCTTTGTGATCTTTCTTTTCTGTGTCCTCACCACGTACCCCCTCACCCACGTCCCACCTCCAGTCTCTCACAGTGTATGTGGACGCCACACCACCATCCCCAGCCTCTCCATGGTCCCATCCTAGTGGGGCAGCATGAGTGTGAGCCAGGAGGAGTGACAGGATGCCCAGGCCCCCGAGAACTGCTTAGGTCCTTCATCCTGTGGGTGTTCACTCACAGACCGTGTCCCCAGTGTCCCCCATCAGGACAAAGGGCCCTGCGTTTGACCTGCCCTCCTGGGCTTGCTCGCTGGCCAGCGGAGCCCACATTAGGATTCAATGCGATTAAGTGAGATGCTGCAATACAGAGGGCTCAACACTATGGGTAGTAGTTTGAGGGAGGAGTAGCTCTTTTCTAGAAAGACTGAGGGATGAGCCACGACTGTGGAAGCGGCTCCTTCTTCCCAGGCCCAGATGTCCAGCATGTACACCCCCGCCCTGACCCCCACCCCGCAGGATTAGTACTGGGGCTCAAATAATCATGATTCTCGTCAGTGGCCCCTGCTGTTTCCTCTCTCTTCCCTCCCCCCACCTCCCGGACTCATTTCAGTTTAATCTGTTAATTTCTGTTCTTATTTCACTTTGCAGACTATTTGCCGATTTCACAAGACATAATTTTTATCAACTAGCTCTTAAGAGAGGCCTAACACATTGGGGTTTGCTACCATTCCTCGAGAGAGGACATAGCCCCGGCTGGGGCCACCCCGGCTGTCAGTGTCCACTGAGACTGTCCTAGCTGCCTGTTTGAACGAATGTTCTTTTTCTCATTTTTAATTCTTGGAAAAGACTTAAGTCCTTATTGCTTCACTCAGTGGAAAAAAAAAAATTTTTTTTTTCTTCTGCAGTCCCTTCCCATTTTGCTTCTTGTACATACTGTGAACACCCCCTCCTCCCAGCACCCTCCCTTCCCTACCTAGAATGTAACGGGGCCCAAGGGCAACTTCTCACAAACTTCATAGCAGTGCCTCCTCAGGAGAAGCCAGGAAACAGGCATCAAATTATTTTAAATAGCAACCAATAGGCTTCTTGGGGCATTTCATGGGCTGAGCTTTTAGTGCTGGTGGCCCACAGGCATTGGGGATCTGTGACTTAGAGCACCTGTGTCCTGTGGTGGACAGTACCAACAGTGAAAACACACACACACACACCACCACCACCACCCCACCCCCGTTCTGTAAACACTAATGTGAAAGACGTAATCTGGAAGAAAAGCTCTATCTGAAAAACCATCACAGTCTGGTTGTCTTTGTGTCTGGGGGCCAAGCACTACGTGGCTGTGAACGATAATGATACGTGCACGTGTCTTTGAGAAGGGACATCTCAGGCCGTGTGGCCACAGATCCACGCCGGCCCCTCCTTCCGCAGCACCCCATCCACACTGGCCTTGCAGTTCCTGCTAGTATCAGGGCCTCTTGGCGCCTTCAGGGTAGGAGGGGACAGAGCACACGGAGCCGGTCCTGGGCAGGTGGGCACCCCTGATGATCCAGTCACTCGGAGAAGGGCTTGCTTCTCCCATGGTCCTGACCCCCTCTGCTTCCCCCATGTGAAGTAGCCCCACTTGCTGGGATTCCCGCAGTACAGCTCAGCAGCACCCTCAAGAGCCACCCTGTTGTTCCCGCTCCTAGTTTGTGAGAAGTGACCCGCATGCTTCCACCTGGTGCATCTCATGGTAGCACATCCCTCTGTTTGAATGTCACTGTCCTTGAGACCCAACCTGGGCGGCTTTGCTCATCTCATGAAAGATGCTTGATGTAATCATTGGTTAGTTTCCTGTTATTTTCCTGCAGGCTTTCTCATGAGTGCTGGTGTTCTTGTTGTTGTTGTTCTTGTTGTTGTTTTGTTTTTGTTTTGTTTTTTAATGATTCTGTGTGGCTCCCTGCTCCCACC